ATACCCTACTGCTACATTACAGTAGTATACCCTACTGCTACATTACATTAGTATACCCTAATGCTACATTACAGTAGTATACCCTATGCTACATTACAGTTTGTATACCCTACTGCTACATTACATTAGTATACCCTAATGCTACATTACATTAGTATACCCTAATGCTACATTACATTAGTATACCCTAATGCTACATTACATTAGTATACCCTAATGCTACATTACATTAGTATACCCTAATGCTACATTACAGTAGTATACCCTAATGCTACATTACAGTAGTAAAACCCTAATGCTACATTACAGTAGTATACCCCACTGCTACATTACGTAGTATACCTATGCTACATTACATCGTAGTATACCCTACTGCTACATTACAGTAGGTATACCCTACTGCTACATTACAGTAGTATACCCTACTGCTACTTACATTAGTATACTATGCTACATTACATGTAGTATTCTACCCAATTACAGAATACTACTGTACTTTTTGTTACCCCTGGCTAACATTTCATTAGATAAACCTATGCTACATTATTAGTATACTAATGACTTACGTAGTTACCTTTATCTTAATTTGCAGTAGTATACCTAACGTACATTACAGTAGTATACCCTACTGACATTACATGTATACCTACTGCTAAATTACAGTAGTATACCCTAATGCTTCTTACAGTAGTATACCCTATGCACTATTACAGTAGTTACCCTACTGCTACTTTCAGTAGTATACCTACTGGCTCACATTACTGTGTTTACTATCTACTCTTTTAACCCTTTCTACATTACAGTAGTATTCCCTACTGCTAATTCAGTTTGTATACCTACTGCTACTTCACAGTAGTATCCCTACTGCTACATTACGTAGTATACCCTATGCTACATTACATTACAGTGTATACCCTATGTACATTACGTAGTTACCCTACTGCTAATTACAGAGTTTCCCTACTGCTACATTTATTACGTGTAATATAATTACTTTTTAAAGGACCCCAATGGAAATAGTCACTCGTGACTTTTTTGGGTTATCCCCGGGTTTACTCCCTAGCGTATGTTTAATTCTATGTAACTGATTTGTGTTATTGAAAAAAACTTACTTATTATTGTTGGTAATTTCTTGGGTAATGTTATATAAATATAAATCAATTACATGATTAGAAAAGTCTAAAGGATATTTCAATATTATTCACCAAATTAAGATTTTGGTGTCATATCCCAATGCCTTCCTTCGGTAAGCAATCCATATTGGCAACTATAAATTAACATACCTGTCATGAGAATTAATACACTGGGAGGCGCACATTACGTGTAGTGTAAACTTCACTTTCTGACGATTCCGTTTCTATTACACCTTCGTTAATTTCATTTGAAGATTCGGCCGATTTCTAAATTCGTTGAGAGAGCTAAATCCACCTCTCAGGACGGCCACCCTGGCCGTAATTGCTCAAATTCTGTTTTCCTTTTATGACCTCTCCTCTTGGGTCAAAAAAAAAGAGCCGAGACGACCAGCAGTCAATCTTCCACACCAGTCTTACCAACACTGCCCTCTTGCCATCTACACAACCACTCCTGCTCCACTCAGCTGGAAGCACTCAGTCGCTTCCTCACAAGTAGTTTGGTAATATGTGACTACCAGTAATACTTCATATTTACATTACATTATATTAACGTTTCACATATACATTACTAATTATAGGAAAATTATAGCGAAATTTCTACAATACTGGTACAATATATTAGGACAGCATACCATATTGCTACATTATATTAGGATAGTATACCATAGTGTTACATTATATCAGGACAGTATACCATACTGCTACACTAGGATAGCATACCATACTGCTATATTATATTACAGTAGTATTCCATAATGCTTTTTTATATTAGGATAGTATACCATACTGGTAAATCATACTGCTACATTATATTTGGACAGTGTACCATGTTGCTAAGTTCGCATGATATTCCATACTTCTAAGTTAAGTGTGTATGAGTGTGTGTGCGTGTGTGTGTATGAGTTTGTGTATGTGTGTGTGTGTGTGTGTGTGTGTGTGTGTGTGTGTGTGTGTGTGTGTGTGTGTGTGTGTGTGTGTGTGTGTGTGTGTGTGTGTGTTATGTGGTGTGTGTATTGTGTGTATGATTTGTATTGTTTGTGTGTGTGTGTGTGTGTGTGTGTGTGTGTGTGTGTGTGTGTGTGTGTGTGACAACAATCAATATTTGCACCAATAACTCACTACAGTTGTGACCGGGTGTGGAAGTGTGAATTGCTCATTACTCTAAAATTTGTTCATGATTGTAGCCATGTATAAACGTAAGTAACCATTCTTACAGTATTCATTATCTTTGTAACTTGTGAGTTCATTACCTTGTACCTAGTTCAGCCATCAAAACTTTGGGGCCCGGTCCCTGGACCCACTGTGTACCTCTGTAATCTGTAAATACCTTTGTAACTTGTCATGATTGTGACTAGACCTACCTGGAGTTCATTACCTTTGTAAATTGTGAATTCATTACCTCTGTAACTTGCTCAGCTATCAAAACTTTGAGGCCCAGTCCCTGGACCCATTATGTACCTCTGTAATCTTTTGACTACCGCCCACAGGATGGGTATGGGGTGCATAATAAACATATTAAACTAACTAAACTAACTAAGTTCAGTAGTATTAAGTAAGTAAGTAAGCAAGTAAGTTTATTCAGGTATACACAAATACAGTTACATAGAATTATCATACATAGCAGCATATGTGTAGAGAACCTGGGATAACCCAAAAAAATCAGACAGAGTGACTTATTTCCATTGGGGTCCTTTATTCTATGTTCCTAAGTTGGGATAGTGTATTATGTTCCTAAGTTGAGATAGTATGCTATGTTTTTTAAGTTGCTATAGCATATCATGTTCCTAAGTTAGGATAGTATTCTATGTTTCTTAGTTGGTACAGCATATCGTGGTCCTAAGTTGGGGTAGTATTCCAAGTCAGACATATGTTTAGGTTACAGGCAGGAACTTACAGGTTACAGGCAGGAACTTACAGGTTACAGGCAGGAACTTACAGGCAACAATAGTGCAACTCATAACTGAATGATGCGTAGGTGAACTTTGAATCGTTCCAGTCAGTTGTCCACATCAAGGACTAGAAATTCCTTATGAACAGACTGGAACACTTATTAACAAAAACGAATTATTATATAACATCGGGATTCATGTTCCTGTTATTGGGCATACTAAATACCGGTAATCATCACATTCTCTAAAGATTCTTGACGAGATTAGCAATGGCTGAACACCGTCCATTTCAATCGTGAGTTGGCCGAAGAAGCCCGTACATAGGCGAAACGTCTCAATAAAGCTCCTCTCAGTGATTGTGTCTGTTTTTTACCGTCCATATCCCACCTATCATTATCTATACCCTGACTATATAGCATGCGAAGTTCCCGAATCGCTAGCAGCTAACCATAGTGATATAGATGAGCTTACATAAGCTTGTTATTAAATTTACATTAAGATTATACAATTAAAAAATTAAGTGAGTTATGTTTAATTTAATATTGATTACATTATTGTTTCTACAATCCAGTTATTCCCGTATTATTTATTTGTCCAAGTTAGGTTAGGTTAGGTAAGGTTTGTTAGGAAATAAGACAAGTGTTTCTCGATGCGGTTCTTAGTCATATGATGACCCGCAGCTTGTGCTTTTGGTCATCTGACCGAGGCCTTCCACTGGCTTACCATTCCACCCATTTAAAAATTGTTATGATATATTTGTGCAAGTGCTTGCTACATAATTCAGTTTCCCTGAACACTCACGATCCTTCTACTACAATCCTAGACTTTTATTTTCATTCCATTTCGTTTATTTCATTAAAACTAAAATTAAATCTTAACAGTAGTTCCTCGTGAAGTATGATTTTTCTTTGTTTGCATTTATTGTAGAGGTAGCCAGTTGAGACCTGGTACCATCTACCAGGTCCGCTTGACCTGGTACCATCTACCAGGTCCGCTTGACCTGGTACCATCTACCAGGCCCGCTTGACCTGGTACCATCTACCAGGCCCGCTTGACCTGGTACCATCTACCAGGCCCGCTTGACCTGGTACCATCTACCAGACCCGCTTGACCTGGTACCATCTACTAGGCCCGCTTGACCTGGTACCATCTACCAGGCCCGCTTGACCTGGTACCATCTACCAGGCCCGCTTGACCTGGTACCATCTACCAGACCCGCTTGACCTGGTACCATCTACCAGACCCGCTTGACCTGGTACCATCTACTAGGCCCGCTTGACCTGGTACCATCTACCAGGTCCGCTTGACCTGGTACCATCTACCAGGCCCGCTTGACCTGGTACCATCTACCAGACCCGCTTGACCTGGTACCATCTACCAGACCCGCTTGACCTGGTACCATCTACCAGACCCGCTTGACCTGGTACCATCTACCAGACCCGCTTGACCTGGTACCATCTACTAGGCCCGCTTGACCTGGTACCATCTACCAAGTCCGCTTGACCTGGTACCATCTACCAAGTCCGCTTGACCTTGCAACATCTACGCTTGACCATCAGTGTGAGCAGAGTAGAGCCAAATTTCCCAACATGCATATTTCGTCTTCCTCCAGATAATGGTATAGTTCTTAGACCAGACAAGAGGAGGTTTGCTAGAATCAAATATTACCATGAACGCAAGAGACTTGTGAGCAACTGATATTTTTAGCTAGAGAAGAGCACAAATTATTGTGCAGTTATTAGTCACCGCTTGTGGCTGAACAGTTAATAAAACCTATGTTGTCTTTTGTCCAGGTCATTGTGACCAAAGGACAAACATTGCAAAAGACTACAGAGTCTGCAAATCATTTTGAATCACCTCACTCAATATTTATTAACTTGCCGGATAGCTCATGATTTTCAACCACTGGTAACCATCCTAATTCATGGGTCAGATCATGCTAAGATGCTTTAATTAACATATCTATTGATATATACAGACATTATCTCTGGGTCCACAGCAGGACTCGAACCTGAAAACTCTGCATCAGAATACACAGTACTTTATCCACGACGCCAGATTCCTGATAAGTATGGGCGCCTATCCGAAACTAGACGTCTGTTCCTCTTGTTAGTGTCAGCAAGTCAGTAAGCCCGGACACTATATTCAACACACACCACTTCATCCCATAGCTCCTGGTGGAGAGCCATTTGTCGACCTAATTATCGACTGTGTGGGACCATTACCGAAGGCCAAATCAGGTAACCAATATCTTTTTACTATTCTTGATAAAACTATTACGTATCCTGGGATAATATGTATGTATAGTATCAACACTAAAGCCATTCTTAAAACCCTCATTAAGTTTATTTTCCACTTTGATATTCCCCAATCTTTCCAGAGTGATCAGGGCACTAATTTTACAGCAAAATTATTCAGAGATGCTTTAACTAGGCTAGGAATTACTAAAAAACTGTTCACAGCCTATCATCTTCAGTCCCAAAAGAGCCTTGGAAAGGTTTCACCAAACCTTAAAAACTAAGATGTGCATTTATTGCATGCATTTTCCTAAAGACTGGGATGAATCACTAATGTTGCTGTTCGCAATGCGACAAATTGTGCAGGAATCATCTGAGTACGTACCTTTAGAGCTGAATTTTGGCCATAATGTGAGAGGCTCCTACACGTATTCAAGGAAGAGTAGATAGGAGAAGACGCATACAAAACACCCTACGATCCTACATCGAGATAGCACGTGGTTCGTCAGCTAGCTAAGACCAACTTAAAATCCGCTCAAAACAACATAATAAAGAGGTATGGCAAAATTTCTCAATATCGCTTCTTTAACACAGGAGACTAGGTGTTGGTCCAGGAACCTGTGCCTGGTCACACCTTGAAAGCAAGGTTTATGGAACCGATGCAGGTAATCAAAAAGAATTTGATTGAAACTACATGGTAGCACCTCTTTATAAACCCAGTGTGGGTAAAGTCTACCACATTAATCAGATTAAACTATTCTCTGAGCCACCTAAGGTCCTAGTAATGGCTTTGTCCTCTGTCCCTGATTCTGTAGACGACCATGAAAAACAGTGGCTACTTCATCAGGAAGTAGCGTTTCTTTTAGAACATGGATTCGTGGGAATTGCCCAGCCCGTGGCCTTCACCATGTATGATTGTTAAAAAGCCTGATGAAGGATTCCGAAAGTGTACCAACTACCATAAGGTGAATGAGGTTACAGTACTGGATGCTTACTCTCTTCCACGTTTGACGATATAGTGGTTATTACCACGTACCTTTAACGGATAAAGTGGAGGAGATTTCTGCCTTCGTAATTCCAGATCACTATCGATATACTGTGACCCAATTCGGAATGCGAAACTCGCCTGGTGGCCTGGTGGCTAAAGCTCCCGCTTCACACACGGTGGGCCCGGGTTCGATTCCCGGCGGGTGGAAACATTTCGACACGTTTCCTTACACCTGTTGTCCTGTTCACCTAGCAGCAAATAGGTACCTGGGTGTTAGTCGACTGGTGTGGGTCGCATCCTGGGGGACAAGGTTGAGGACCCCAATGGAAATAAGTTAGACAGTCCTCGATGACGCACTGACTTTCTTGGGTTATCCTGGATGGCTAACCCTCCGGGGTTAAAAATCCGAACAAAAATCTTATCTTATCTTATCTTATCTTATCAAAGGACTTGAAGGCTAGGCTTTCCTGGACGATATAGTTGTAGTTTCTGATATGTAGAATCAACTTGTTTACTTTCTCGAATCCTTCTTCGGGAGGTTCAGAACATTTTAGCTTCCAATAAACCTGAGTAAATCATCTTTTGGAAAATGTACTATTACTTTATTGGGTTATGAAGAAAGTAGAGGCAAAGTAGCACCTAAGTTTGCTAAAATTTTGGCTATTAAAAATTACCCAGGATAAGAAGCCCCTGCAAAGTGTCTCAGGAATGATAGGATTTTATCGAAAATTCTGCAAAAACTTTAAAAGATGTGGTAGTCCCCCTAACCTCTTTTACCAGTGAGAAAATGAAATTTTGCTGGACCGCCCAGATGTCAAGAGTCTTATGCGCTTCTACCATAATTTTGTCTCCCGATTTTTCAAAACCATTTGTATTATAAGTTGATGCTTGTGAATCGGGAATTGGGGCAGTGAGAGAGATGTCTGGTGAGAGATGTCTTCAGCCCGTGGCATTTTAACGAGCCAAATACCAGGCCTATCACCTGGTACTTGCGCTGGAGCATTTTGATGTATTCTTGAGCAGCTCATCACATGTGGTCATCGTTATCAGTGGCCACAATCCTCTGACGTACCTTCGCCCTATGAAGAACTAGAACACTTTGTCTTATGTGTTGGGCATTACGATGGCAACTGTACAACTTTTCCATATGCCACATAGATAATGTGTTGGCCGACACCCTCTCCAGAACATAATTTGTTAGGATATGTAAGGGAAAAATGGGAAGTAAATTTTTTTCCCCTTATGCTTATAAAGTAAAATCTGAGTAAATCTGGCTATAAGTTTTTTTTATTTTTTAATGAGGGGACACTTGCTCCCATTCACAAGTGTCTTGAACCTATGCTAGCTTACTGTCTGCTGTATCGCTTTAAGGTGATGTCTGACTTGGAAGTTCCTCTGGAACGAACATCACCTAAAGTGGGATGGATGAGAGGAAAGGCAGTTCCATTAGTACATCGTGCAATGGTGGCACACTACCCAGGAAGGGATGCCTAGTCCTGGCTATTAGAACCCTTTTGGGGTGGGGTGTGTCATGCTAAGAGTACGTTGCATGTTATTCGGCATATGTCACACACCCATATAGGCATGCCTGACTACCAGCGAACCACGTGCTAGGAGTATGTTGAGCAGAGGGCCCATAATTATGTCAGTACTCTAGTTCAACCAGTCAATCACAAGGAATCCTTCCAAAGTTGTGAGGTAATGTGGTACACTTGTGAATCATCCTTGGTAGACTTACCTTCATGTTTCATAGCTTGCATTTGCCTTATTGTACATAGCTGTATACATTGTACATAGGTTTATATACTGTACATACCAGATTATTACTTCATGCCTTTTTGCTCATTCCTAAGTGGCTATCGTGCTACAGCCAGGTGTGCAGGCCCATAGATTACATCTGTTTTCGTAATACTTCCAATATAT